CACCTGTGCGGAGCAGTGAAGCTAATATTTTTCATTAAAGTAAAATAATAATTAAGACCCACAGGAAAGAAGATACTATACTAAGATACTATACTAAGACCTCTCTCATTAATTTGGAAATTCAAGATCAGTAATAATAATAATAATAATAATAATAATAATAATAATAATAATAATAATAATAATAATAATAATAATAGTAAAGTTGGAAGGGACCTTGGAGGTCATCTAGTCCAACCCCCTGCTCAGGCAGGAAACCCTATACCATTTCAGACAAATGGCTGTCCAGTCTCTTCTTAAAAACCTCCAGTGTTGGAGCATTCACCGCTTCTGGACGCAGGTTGTTCCATTGGTTAATTGTTCTAACTGTCAGGAAGTTTCTCCTTAGTTCTAGGTTGCTTCTCTCCTTGATTAGTTTCCACCCGTTGCTTCTTGTCCTGCCTTCAGGCGCCTTGGAAAATAGCTTGACACCCTCTTCTTTGTGGCAGCCCCTGAGATATTGGAACACTGCTATCATTTCCCCCCTCGTCCTTCTCTTCATTGAACTAGAGACATATCCAATTCTAGCAACCGTTCCTTATATGCTTTAGCATCCAGTCCCCTAATCATCTTTGTTGCTCTTCTCTGTACTCTTTCTAGAGTCTCAACATCTTTTTTACATCGCGGTGAAGTACATTAAAGAATGTGAACAGTTTGGGCTATATTTCCAGTATTTAGAATTTATCAAGAACCATAGGTTTTCGAGATATAGGGATTGGATAAAATGATCATACAAATCATAGAAAGAGAAATATATTCTGTCAACCTGTCCTGCTTATCAACGTTTGATTTATAATGGGGATGGGGTGTTAAAGGCAAAGAAGGAATTTTTCAAAGTAATGTGGTCAAAGTGGATGGAGTTCTAAATTTTCTCAGCTGTTTTTTCTTTCCCTCATTATTATAATTAAATATTTATTAAACAAATTTATATGCCCCTCCCAACTTACCTGTGGCAGCGCAACTCAAGCACATCTGATGTTTGAATTTAACTGATACTTTTCCTCAATAAATCTCACCGATTGAACGCCCTTTCTATAATGATTGAACATTTGGTTTTGAATTGCAATATTAACAAAATAAACATTAGCTATGGTATAGTGCCTAATATAGAGAAAATATTTTAGAGAAAAATATTGACGGAGATTAGAAATCTTCGTTTTGGCTTCCTGATGAGAATTGATTTGTGTTTATCATTATTATTTATTATGTTGTTAAACAGTAAGCCATTAAAGAGAGCAGCTGTTTTGTCAAGGAAATACAATGCAACAAGGAACACTACGGGGGGGGGGGAGGCGGGAAACGCAGAGCATTTGCTTCATAAGCGGTTTTCATGCGCCCGTCAGTTTTCAGTCTCCTCTCCCCTTTGGGTCTTTTCGACATCTATATTTTTTTAACCGGAAATTTACATTTGGGAATACAACATTAAAGAAATTCTCGTCAACAAAATACACAATATAGTACACTTAAGACAAAACTTCGTATGATTTCATATGCAGGAAGGTTTTAATCAAATGGATCAATTCTCGATTGTATGGAACTATGAACCAGAGCATACATTTACAAAATATGTCTAAATCTTATTGATATGGTAAAGCTAATTACTTCTCTCGCACATAATTAATACTAGAGTAGTATTATACAAAGAACGTTAGAGGGATTTTTCTTATTTATAAAAACCGTTACTTCGTTTTATTATACTGGTCTTTGACAATGCTAGTTTCCTATTGGTTAAAATAGCACTGTTCCTATTGGTCTGCTCTTTTCAACCAATCGCAATAAGAGAAAGGCGGTCAAGAAAGGTATAAAAGACGTTCAGCGGCGATTGTTTGCTGCTGTTTCGTCTCGGGAGGCGGAAGGGCTTGAGGATGTCTGGCCGCGGTAAAACCGGAGGCAAGGCACGAGCGAAGGCGAAATCTCGCTCTTCCAGAGCCGGCTTGCAGTTCCCTGTGGGTCGAGTTCATCGGCTTCTACGCAAGGGCAACTACGCCGAGCGGATTGGAGGAGGGGCCCCGGTATATTTGGCTGCGGTGCTGGAGTACTTGAGCGCTGAGATTCTGGAGCTCGCCGGCAACGCCGCGAGGGACAACAAGAAGAGTCGAATCATCCCGCGGCACTTGCAGTTGGCGGTGCGCAACGATGAAGAATTAAATAAGCTGCTCGGGGGAGTTACCATCGCCCAGGGAGGCGTCTTACCCAATATCCATGCGGTTTTATTGCCGAAGAAAACCGAAGTTCTGCATAGCGCTAGTAGCAGCAAACCCACCACCAGCGTGAGCAAGTCTTCCAAGGTGCCCAAAGTCGCGGTCAAGCCGACGACCGCTCCTGTTGCTGTTCAGTGAAGACAAGATAACAACCCTGCCCCGGGGGACGATACCGAGACCCAAAGGCTCTTTTCAGAGCCACCCACAGGCTTTTGGGAAGAGCTTTTCACTGCACTAAACAAATTCACAAATATTCAAGTGTACATGAATGTTTTTAAATACCAATTTAAGGAATGTTAAAAAAACGAGGGTCTGAACACAATAGGAGTGGGGCTGTTTATTAACGAACTAGGGTAAGAGGTTCCTCAAAAACAGTTTTGTGGTCGCTTATAAAAAGTTGCCAATGGCCCTCTTAAGTCGTGTGACCCATAATGGCCCTGTTTTAAAAAGTAAATCACAAGTTAGGCAAATTGGTTCCATTGAACAGTGATAACAATCCCTTAATATTTCCTCCACTGCTCAATAAACTTGGCACATATACTGACAATACCATCTTTTGACTGACAACTGGTAATTTCTTGGGATTGAGAAAATCAATTCATTAACATGAAATTTTCAAATTGGCGTCAATATTCACAACTACATTCTAATAGCCAGTCTGGTTTAATGTTTAAAGCATCAGAGTAGAAACCTGGTGTTTCTAGTCCTGCCACAAGCAAAGAGCCGGCTGGGGGACTTTGGGCCCATCACTCACCCCCATCTGCCTCAGGGTGATCGTGAGGAAAAGAGCAGGGAGTATTAGGTATTTTTGCTGCCTTGAATTTTTATAAACAAAGGGGATAAAAATCTAAATCCACCTCCTTTGATTATCAAGCCTACTATTAGCGTTTCTATGCCTCTAATTTTATTCCTCTTCCTCAGCACACTCCTGTTCAGCCAGGAGATTCTGGGTGCTGTGACAGGTCTGTGCTTCAATAACAATTGGGCTCTGACTTGCTCTTCTGACAGCAGGAAGAATGAGACAATCTTCGCTCCAGCAAAAACAGCAGGTGAAAAACTGTTCAGGCGCTTGAATGGGCATCAAAAGTGCTATTTACTCCTCAGGGTCTATATAAATACAGATCTAGCAAGCCTCTTCACCCCTGTTAAGATATTAGTTCTCTCTTTGCAAAGGTCAGATTCCCTTCTCTGGATTAAGGGGGATCGCACCCTTCCATCTTACTCCTTGCTAACATCCACTGCCCAGTTTTCTCCTGTGGCTTTTATTTCTACCTGCCCAGTTTTCTCCTGTGGCTTTTATTTCTACCTGCCCAGTTTTCTCCTGTGGCTTTTATTTCTACCTCCCATTTCCTGAAGCAAATGCCCTGAGAGATACAAACACATAAAGAATGGAATCAAATTGAAGGTTAGCAATGTAGTTGAATCTTGGGGGGCTGGGGGGGGGGTTGAAAATCCCCAAATTTGAGATCCTGCAATATCCATAAAACAAGCAAATACACTAAATACATTTGAGGTTACTTTTGCAGGTTAAATGCCCGGACAATATACAAAAAAAAGCAGGAGCCTGGGAACACCTCTTTTAACTATCACATTTTATTAAAAGGCATACGCTTTTTTCTGCTATTCACTTAGACCAGGGGTGTCAAACTCAGAACGTCATGTGATGTGTCACGACATATTGCGACTTTTTTTTTCCATTGCCAGCAATGGGGTGGGTGCGGTTTCGCTATGATGCATCCGGCCTGTGGGCCGGCAGTTTGACACCCCTGACTTAGGCTATCATTTCAAATGGTATTAAAAGTAAGGTATTAATTAGAGTACTTTTTAATCATTTTTATTTCCAGAAACCAAAGGAAAACAGGACCTTAAAATTTATTTCTGCTGATGTTTCAGTACCCAGCAGTCAGGCAGAATGGAAAATATTATATTTATATTTCATATTTCTTAACTCATCTCCCTCAGAGAGGGACTCTGGGCAGTGTACAATATAATCAATAAAATCAATCTAAGGTTAAGAAGTGTTAAAATTGTAATAATATAAAATTTTCCAAAGATGAAAAATTCCAAGATGGGGATTAGCAGTTGGTAATACAGGCTTGTGGGGGGGGGGGAGAGATTCACATGGGGCCAGCCAGCCTCACGATTGTGTGGGCCTTTGTATCCCCCCCCCCACAAGGCCTCATAGCCAAGTCTTCATTCCTTTGCTGGAAGGCCAAGAAATTGGGGGCTTTCCTAACCTTTGAGGGCACGATATTCCACAATGCAGGGGCAGCGGCAGAGAAGGCCCTTCTGGACTTCGCCAGTCAAAATTCAAAAGAGTAAAATTTTATTTATTTTTAAAATTCAGGACCAAGAGGCCTATCGGTTGGTCTACAGCAGGGGTAGGCAACCTTGGCTCTTTTATGACTCGTGGCTGGCTCAGGAATTGTGGGAGTTGAAGTCCACGAGTCATAAAAGAGCCAAGGTTGCCTATCCCTGGTCTACAGGAATAAGGCTGCTGCTATACATGCCTCAACTGTCATAAGCTGAGAACTCCCTGTTGTAACAGCACAGGAATAACTTAGGGCTTGTCAAGGAATTGTTACTGCATTGAGCTCAATTGTCTCCACACCAGGTGGCACTAGCTCTCCACAACCTACCTGGTAGTATTGACCAATCTGGTCAGGGATCCAAAAATAACGGTCATTAGTTATTCCAGCCTCAACTCTCTCTTTTTTACATAATGGGGACACTATAGAGATGGAAAAGGACCCCAGACGATCCTCTGTTCTGCACCATGACAGAAACAATATGGTGGATGGGGATGATGCGTCCAATCTGATAAATTACTTCCTTACAGTTGCCAAGAGAAATGCTTTGTGTCTGTGAAATCACCGGAAATTGAGCTCCACCCAAGAGAGAGAGAGAGAGAGATGTTACCTAGAATTGCCACAAATGTTTTGCATGAAACACTAGCAGCCACAGGTCTTAAATGTGAATTCAGACAATAGATTTGGACAAGCCCAGCTTGATTGTTTAAGTGACACAAAGAAGTGGTTTATGTAAAAACGAAGGACCAAATGGACAAATCATCAAGCATTCAATAAAATGGAATATTAATTAAATATTTGTCACATCTGCACCGGGGCAAGACTGGATTTCACACAAGATTATTAGATCCTGAAAGCTTGGCCTTTGGCTCCAATTCAGCCCATCTCTTCAATGCAGCTGATCCATTGCAAAATAGAAAAGGGTTATTTCTTTCCTTATTAGAATATCTATTTAATTTTAAATTAAAAAAATAGATTATGGGACTTATCAGATGGAATATTTAAAGATTAAGCACTTGTTTGAATATGGTTAAAGAAATAAAATTTTGGATATAAATTAATTTAAGTTTAAGAGGTATAGGCCTTTTAAGCAATACAATATTCTTTATGATATGAGAAATATAAAAATGTTGGGATGTTTTATATGAGGGAAATGTTTTAGACACTTAAGGATAATGGATTTTGAGAAAATTTTAATAAGAATGTTTTGAATAGTTTTAAAAGATTAGCTATGGATTTATTAGACAGAATACTTAAAGATTAAATATTGGTTTGAATATGTTTAAAAAGAATAGAAAAAAATGTGAACATAAATATATTTTAGCTTAAGAGGGACATGTTTTTCAAGTAATATATTACTTCTTTCTTTTTTTCTTTTTTCTTTTGTTTTAAGATATGAGAAATGTAAAAGTGTTGGGATGGCTTGTATGAGGAAAAAGACTTAAATACCTACATGTAATTAATTCTAAGAAAATCAACAGGGAAAAATCTTTTGAACACTTAGGGAAAAACAAATTTAAATGAGAACTTTAAAAACAGGATCTATATGACAAGGTGATTAAGATGATTAATTAGAAAAGATTCATATTGATGTGGTTATTACCTCTAGAAATATTAGAAAAATGTCTATATTCAATTGTTATCTATTAAAATTACTAAGAAATGTACTAATTTAAGGTTGATAAAAGAGAATATTATTGGGAGAAAATCAAGGAAAGCTATTATGTGGAGTATGGAATTATAGAAATTGTTATTGATTGTTTGTAAATATAAACCCAGATAACATGCTGTTTACCAAATATTAATGATGATTATATTTAAAAAATCAATAAAATATATTTTAAAAAAATAGTAGATTCCACACAGCTGTTTTCTGATTTCTTCCTTTTCTAATCCCAACAACTTTTATCACATTTGGGGATCTCCCTTTTCCAGCTTTGTATGGAACTGCTGAACCGTCTGGTGGGCTGGGTTACTAATGACAACTTCTTTGCATCTTTCATTTTCATTAATTATGTACCATCAAGCTGATATCATCTCTTAGCAGCCACATGGATAGGATGATCTGTCCCCAGCCTGGCACTTCAGATCTTCCAGTGGTGTACCCATCCTCATTGTTTGAGTCTGTCTGTGTTGAAATTGTCTTCTTCTTTTCCTTCCAGTTTTCCCAGGACTATGGACTTGTCAAGAAATCAGAATTGTGCCAAAACATCAATTTGAACCTGGACATTGGTGCCTTGAGTGGGAACTCTGGATTGGTTATTCTATGATCCATTTATCTGATTTCTTGGCCGCCCATGATTTCCTCAAGAATCTTACAGCAAATTTCAAAAGCATGAATATCCTGCTTCTTCAAAGTCCAACATTCACTTCCATAGAACGTCACAGGGGAAAATCCTTGATTGCCCACTTCTGATCTTGCTGGTAGACATGTCAGAGGATCTGAATATTTTTTCCATGGTTTTCACAGCTATCCAACCAAGTGCTAATTAATCTACAACAGGTTTCTAGTTTTACTTTCATATACATCTCTAATAATTCTTCTCGATATTTATCCCTTCATTTTTGTTTCATGACATCTTTTGAGCTGTGAGGGCTCACTTTCTATGGATTTTGTACCTTCTGAATTTTTTTCTTCCTTGCCTTCTTTTTTCTCTTTTCTGTTTTACTCAATAGCCATCTTTAACTAGTTATTGCAACGCTCTCACAACCAGCAATCTCCTACCTATCCAGTAGCTATTCCACAAGATCTCAACTGTCCCTGTTTAATACTTCTTGGCTCCACCAATTCCTGTATAATATAAGATCTGAACTGTTGGCAAGCTATCC